GACAAATGGCGCGTAGGTGTAATTTATTAGCCATGCTGGAAATGAAGTGAAATGAAGCAAGAAAGAAGAGCTGTCCTCAGCCAAGCCGAGGTCTTAATATCTTCCATAATCATTTTTGTTGGTGTTCAATTTCAATGTTTACTGAGACGGAAATGGTTAATTAAACTCTACTCACTCTTCTGCCGCGATCTGTATAGATTTGGATGCGTCAATCTCTTCTCCTTCTGGTCCTACATACTTCGGAGCAAAGTTAATATACCTGCCATTAATGTCGGGCAGCATAACTTCTAGGTCAAATACAAAAAGGTGATTGAAACATGACCGCTGTTTAGGAACCATGATCACCAACAACAATGACGTTGTACAGAATTCCGCCACTAAACTCTCCATTTTTCCCCCAAAATTTTATTATTTAAAATTATGTTTTTCTACGAAATACATGCACACACTTATATATACATATTAGTACATTGGTATACTATGTATTACATGTGTATGAGTATATGTTTGGCTATTGAGTTCTTATTATTATTTATTGCAAAAATTTTTAGCTTAAAAAAATCGGATTTCGTATTACAATATATTAATGTATGCAATCGATAATTAGCTCCGGCGAATATCCCCGCCCGAAGAAGGTAGACTAATGGGCTAAAATCCTGTTTAAATTCTAGTATAATGAAGTTAAAACCAGTTCACCAGTAAGAGGAGTAATAAAAAATTCCGCCACCTTATGTTGTTGCGATATCTAGTAAGCCACGACTGAGTTTCATTCTCAGCTACGCTTTGTTAAAGGACACAAACTGGCGTTAATCGCGTAGTCGCGTAATCGTTGCAATATCCGAGTGCTTGAAGGTTATCGCAGTAGCAAACCAGTTGGATTCTAGTTAACAACTAGTGTTTTTTTCCAACAGGGATGTTAGGTCGGAAATATAGGAAAATATTCACACCAATGCGAATTTTCAAACTATAGATTTTGTCTGTATTTGTGTGTATGTTGTATGTTATGTATATGTGTGTACATCTGTAGTTATTATGCACTATGTGCGGATTGTGTAGGCATATACGGATTTTTCCTCACTCAGGTATCGTTTCGAATATATAATCCACATATATATGTAGCTGCAAAATTCAATAAATTTGTTCCCTGTATATTTCTGTATTCATTGGTAATTTGAAGCTTACCCTAATTAAGTGCCATTCATACAGTTGTGTGTTCCACCTACTTTTACTCCCCTCTGTAGTATTAGTATGTAAACTAGATGTGTACTTTTAATTTGTAGCAGTGATAATCCACTTATATGAAATATATATAACAAATCTTTCTTACGTTTATAGTCAACTAAATTATTGATGTGGAAACGCAATTTGTCATTATATCCTAAATTTGGGCAAATGAATAAAAAAACCGAAATTCAGAGCTAAGAAAATTAATTTCAAATCAAATTCAGGTTTTATTTTAAGCATATAAATATAAAAAAATAATAAAACGCCGACCGCCGACATGGGATATTGGATCCCTCGGAAGCTCATGGAGCAGCTTTAAAATTCACTTCAGTCGCCTCCAAAAAAATTAATTGAAAATTATGCATTGCTGCATATGGAGTCGCAATAAACTAGTTTCGAGGGCTGCCCATCTGGATCAATCTTATTACTTTTTTTTTTTGTAATTTATTGACTCAAACAAACGCAATGATTATCTAGAGATATAAGTTTTAGATAGAAATTTACATAAAGCACCCGTTCGTAATTAGTATTAATTGAGTATTGAGAAATTATTTTTAAAATACAAATTTAGGTAGAAATTTAAGTTTCAGAAAAAATCAAATAATATTTTTATTACAAGCGAAATTTATCCCAATTGTTAATTAATTTTTCCTATTAAATTTTATTGTTAACTTTAAAATACGTTTTGTTATAAAATATTTGGGGCAAAGATTTCCAAAGACCGAAACAAATTTTGACAAGAAGTCGGAATGTTTGTAAGGAAAATTAACGGTTTCCCTTCCGTTTATCTAGAACATAGCATTGGTATAGCTTTTCGGACAGAGCATCACCGAAAGATAACCAAAAAATGGTATGATTTGAATACAACAATAGACCGTACGTGGACTTGGTGTTCTGAGCTAAGTTAATGAAAAAAGAAACGGTAGATTTTTTAAATTAATTATTTAGTCTTCTTATTTATATGCTCAAAAGGTGTCAACAATAAGGTGGAACTGTCAACGGCTTGACAGAGATAAAAAATTAGGCCTTTCACTTCTGAACTTAACAACTCATTTTTTTAAATTCAGGTCCTATTTGCCTGAATGCTAGTATATTTGCATTTATTTACTCCAATTAGTTGCTTCAATGCCCAAGAATACCATTCACTGGTGCAAACTCTTTACGAAGTATGATAGTGAGAAAACCAACCAAAATGGAGCTTGAACCATTTTGCTTTCGAAATAATTTCAGATTCTGGTCATTTAGTTGCACATCTGTTGACATTGCGAAAATGGTTGAGCCAAGAATATTAAATACACACGAGTCTACAAGCACATCTCCACATCTTTCAGGGAAAACTAAGACATCACATTTTCATACAAACAAATTCATCTCCCATTATTTTCTCATATTAAAAACTTTCCATTAATTCAGCTGGTGTTTCCTGCATATAGTAATCAAAATCGTAATGTCTACTGCGCGATTAGAAAGATGAATCTCCTTTCTCTAACCATATGGAGACGTCCTACGGGACGCGCATCAGTAAAGAGAACCACTGCATTCTTTGTAAAAATATATTTATATTTGAAAAAGTATTAAAATAAAAAATGAAAGCAAGTAAGTAAGCTACTGTCTGAATTCAGCAAAAGGCTATTATATATAATAAAACGGTAGAGTTTTTTCCACTGACGCAATGTAACCAATTTTTCACACACATATTATTAAATTGTATGGCACCTTTTCACTTTTTATTTATTCTATTCTTTGTGCTCTCCCTTTATTCGTAAAAGTTTCACAAAGCTTACAACAAGGCTTAAAATTGGGTTTTCGTTTATAGCTAAAATTCTGGTCTCTGTTTGGAAAGAGTAGTCACTTTTGGCGCAGAAACTTGGCTTGCACGGGAACAAGTGTCAGCACTTCCGCTGCGTGAATATCCCAAATATGTCTTTTCAGACACTTTTTTGCAATTCAGTGGACGGTTTTTGTATGAAAATATTTTAATAAGTTTCTTGCCCGATAAATGTCAAAATAATTTGTGTTCCACGGCGAATGAGTAACCTGTTGATTATGGTTAGACACAATACTATTCAATTCCAAATTTTTGAACAAATTGCTCATCTTGCTTTTTATTGTTGAAAAAATATGAATATTTTTTCCACTGACGCAATGTAACCAATTTTTCCACACAAATTATTAAATTGTATGGCACCTTTTCACTTTTTATTTAACCTTTAAAATTTTTTATGAAACCTTAACCCGCCAGGAGACTCAAGTACAATATATTTGCCTTCCACAACAATTATTTCCAACCAACTGTATACGTATATGTACACGTACATATATGTATGTATTATTTACTTAACTTGCATTCAAGTTAATACTACACACAGTGATAATAACCAATTACCACCACTTGCTATTGAACTTTGCGCACCTTTAATTATTAGAACACTTTCGAATTGGAGCTGCAGACACAAATGCAGTCAACTTTTTGATTTATCCCAGTTTTATAATAAAGCCGGCTCACCACAATACCTTAACTTTACGAGTTGGCGCTGAGTGGTTGCTGCACTCTGGACACGACTGCATTTCCACACAAAATACCAAATAGAACAAGACTTCGGTATATTCTCCAATAATATTGGGGGCAGCAGAGAGGAAAATTGTTGCGTGAAGTCCAGCCATCATGCTGTGAGTACATACATATATGTATATGTGCGCGAGGGAGCGTTTGTAAAGCGATCAGCTCAAATTGTGACGATAACGAATTTGAAAAAGGATAAAATAAGTAGTAAAATCTACAACAGACACTGAGAAGTCAGGTAAGAGAGTTAAAGGTAAGAGCCAAATCAGAAGAAGCCACATCCGAACTAAGGGTAAAATCAAAATCAGCAACAATAATAATGGAGTACTCATAACGAGCAGCAATAACAAATGTTGCTGACGGTTTCAAATATTACCTGAGTTACAAACGCGTTTCGTCCAATCGTGCGCTTTCAGTGCCGCAGCGAGTACACGTGCACCTTCTTTGCATATGTGTGTGTTTGTATGGGTATCTGAGTTGTGTGTTGTTTACAAACCATCAAATGCAACGCACAGCTGCTCAGGGAAAACATTGAGAGAAACAGAGAAAGAGAAAGCAAGAGTAGCCGAAAACATACTGAGAGTGTGGTGAGTTTATTTTGAGAGCAGAGTCCTAAATTACGAGGAGAACAGTTTGTAGAGCGCAGCCCAACGATGGAGTACCGAAAAGGATATGAGAACTAAGACTAGCCAAAATGCAAACAACAACAGATAACGGTGTTGAGCAGAAAATGTGTTGGAAAATCAGAAGCAGCTGTGAACTGCAGAAGCTGCCAAAACAGTTAGAGCAACAGCACAGCATAAAAGCATCACGTCAAATACTATGTATGCATGAGTGTGTGTATGGGCCAACAATTTAGCCGAGCCAAATGTCATTGTAGTCAAAAAGAAGCAGTTGATGAAAAAGAAGTAGGGGAGTAGCAGCTGAATACATGAAGTTACCACAGCTAAAAAGTAGTAGCAACAACAACGTGCAAGAAGAAGAGAAGTAAGGTAATGTTAACCACTAGCAAAATATATCCTTATTATTTTTTGTTTTTTGTTTTTTTTTTGTATACACGAACTCGCCATATATACATACACATATATAAATATGTATATGCAAATGTATATATGTATGTGTATATCAGTCATTATAAGCATACTTTTTGTAATTTTTTAGTTGCTATATTTATTGTTTTATTTCAACATACTTATACGAACGACGTAACTACCTCTTCGTGGTATCCATACAAATACAATATTCGTTTTTTTCTTTTCAAAGCAAAGCTGCTTCTCTAAGCATGAAGACTGGCAGTGCCCACTTCTTGTGTATGTATATTCGAAGACGTTTTAAGCTGCTTTTCTATGCGTTTCTGCACGTTTTTGTACACATTTTATATTTGTAAGTTAACTTTCAAGTATTTCCTTGAATCGAAATGCCGTTAGCTGCGCGGTGTTTAACTAGTTATTTAACACAGATTTTTTAAAATAAATAAATCCTTTAATATTTTCTTTTTTTTGTTATTTTTTTTTCTTTTCGCATTTACTTTACTGACCACAATTAAAGCAACGCCTTTTTCATGCTGCTTTCCATTCGCCCTAATTTACAAATTGGTATATGATATGTGTGCGTGTGTGCGTATGCGCGTGCATGTATGTGTGTGATTTTCTTTCTTCTAGTAGACAGAATTTTTTTCCTTATATACATGTGATTTTAAATGCTCAATTTCTTTTGGCACCCAATATTTAAAACTATGCTTTCTTTCAAAATTTTTCCAACGTATATACACATTATTTACAAGATGTATGTATATCTTTTCATTAATTTTTTAATTTTCTTTTTTCGTTCAAACACTTTTGCCTTTCTTTATTTTTTGTAAGCAGCACACAAATGTTGAACAGATTTTTTTCCCCTTTTTTCTTGCAACTTTTCACTATGACGCGTTTGTAACGTTTTAACCGTTAAGCATCCGTTCACGTCAACTGTCTCCACCTGACTGAGAAAATCGATGGCGTGGCCAGATTTCTCTGCAGTTTGTTTCATACGCGTACAGCGCAAAATCATATGTATGTATGAGTGTGATGGCTTTCGGGACTCGTTTGCATGAGTCTGGGTTTGTTTGAATGTTCAAACAAGTGCCTTTTCTGGTTTGTTTTCTTTGTGCTTACTCGTATGCTGTGCGTTGTGTAGTTAGGTGGCGGCTGATCTCGTTCAATGTAGCATTTTACAGCATCCCTCGTGGAAGAGAGAGCAAGTCTTCGTGACGTACTCTCATTGTCTTTCGTTTGTCGCTTTTTTCATAAATTTGCTCTATATTTTTAGCCCATTTCGTGTGTGTATGCGTGTTCAGTTTTATACTGTGCGTTTTTCTGCTTGTTGGACTTTTGTAACGGTTGGTTTTTAAATTAATATATATATATATATATGCTATATATATCTGTGTGTTAGCATGCATTAAATTATGAAAAGTAGCAATCAGTGCAATCAACTTTGTTAATTCGCTCCGTCAAATAAATGTTACGTATACGCCCGCGCCCTTATTGAATATTTAGGTTTAAACCATTGACTATTCTGTCGAGGTAACAAAATTTACTTTGGCATTAAAATTTACAATTCAGAGTTCACTGTCACCCTGTAAATATTGTTACCAACGAAATAGGAGGTAACAAAAAATTTAGTGTTTGATTTTGTGTTGTTAGTTTTAGAAAAAATAAAAACCAAAATGGGTAGGCATATTTTAGGCCTGGAATTCTTTGAAGATGTAGAAAAAAGTGGGAAAAGGAGTATGTTAAGAAGTTTGCGAGAAACAAATTACTCTTTTAATTTGGAAAATAGCGTTTGCAATCAGTTTTTTTTGTCGCTTAGGCATATTTCCCAAAATTACGTTCAAATATTTATGATTTAATAAACACATAAATAAAACTTATTTATTTTGAAGTGCACCGTCTTCTATTTCGATGTGAATATTATTCTTTTTTACTACAACAACTGGCAAATGTAATTTGACAAGGACGAAAAAAGCAGTGCGCCGAAGTTTTTTCATACATTGTAACCAGTTCGCCAGAATACCAAACTGAATTTCGGGTTTTAAAAAAAAGTAACAAAATTTACTTTACCGGTCACAGTGAGAATAGGCCCGTAAGTAACTTACTAGAGGAAAATTCAGAAATATGAGAAAAGTGGTAATGATTTTGGAGTTCTTGGAATAGATTGCTTTAAGGGCACAACTCTTTGTAAGAAGGAACTAATAAGAGCTCGGTGCGAGGTTATGTTTTTTAGTTGTCGAAAATCGCTTCGACGGTTGAAAATTGCCAATAAAATATAGTTGCATAAATTACTATTTGTATGATGACAGAGTTGATTGTTGTATAGGTGGACTCGGCTTTTAGACAAAGTGTTGGCGTCTAAATATTCTTTTCGAGCAAGAAATGCCTTTGTAATGATTTGTACTAGCTCAAGACAAGACTTCATCTTGAAAATCTTTTACGCATTTTGTATAAGCATGAATCAATACCGGGGAAACGAGATCTTATACCATTACTATTTAGTAATTTCTCTGTTCGGAGCACGAAGTTCAATAGTGGTATTGTGTGGAATGTTTAGTTTATGTTTTGTCACCTTGCTGTGTAATTATCATCAACGGCAATAACACTCAAACTGTACACATACACCAATTCATATAATAAACTATGCTAACTATATACTTGTACCGTTATAGCCATTGTCATAGTCATCATCGATGGCTTTGTTCGAAGAGTCAAGCAATGCGACAAACAGTCGCATGAATACGCTTACACATACATACGTATGTGTGGATTGTAGGCATGCTAAATTATAATTTTTCACTATTTTCGTTACTTCTACAATATTTCTTATACTATACATACATTATTATGTGTCGTACTTTCCTATTATGCGAGTAAACTGCTTGCTGCTGCTTGCTGCTCTTGCTATTGTTATCATAGCTGCGCATTTTGCTACGCGCAAATTTTCATTTTCATAAATAAACGCTTCACTTCGCTCACATATGTATTTGCACATATATTCGTATGTATGTTCGTATATCATATCTAACAGTCAGCTCATATACAATATGTTCATATATTTGAAAATAAAAGGTTTTTGTATTTATACAGTTAATTGCATATTTCTACACTATTACATACATGCAGATGTGTGTTAGTAATTACACATCACGTACAACGTTCCACATTAAGTCACAATACGTGGCACGATATCACATCGCATCACCATCATGTGTATATCCATTGATAAATATAAGTATTTGGGTGTATGCATTACAGATAATGTAACATAAGCAATCGCTAGCAAGCGTAAATTAAAAATAAACCACCGTGCTCACTTTAAAGTTAACATTTCGTTTAACTAATTCGAAAAATAAACTTTAGGAAATGATTATTTTTGATTTTGGCATCGATTCGGTTGAAACATCTGAAAATGCTCCCATTAAAGCAATTATCAAAATAAATTTGATTTCGTTTTTAGCCGGGACGATGAGCTGATAAATATTAAACGTTGGAATAGAAGTCAGACGTTAAGTCATAGCAGTCAGCCTTTTTAAAATTCACGTAAACCACGAGTTGTACCGTTCCATATGAACGATTTCATTTCGTTTCGATAACTTTGCAAATCATTTCGTTAACTTTATTTTTCGTATTAGGAAAACGAAATATCATCGTTTAGTCTCTGGTTTAGAGTTTTCTGTTAATGATTTAACACTAACGGCAGCGTTTTTGGCAGCGGCAGCGACAGCAACATTGTGTCATATATGAATATTTTATATATGCACAATTTATTTAATTGATCAGTAGGTATTTCATGCTACAGTACGAAACGAAATTAGTTTCATTTAGATGTTTCTTTTCAAACCTACAGGATCTTACATTTTTACTATATATTTCAGCCGGTCATATTAGGAATTGATCTGATTTGAACACAACTGCATCGGTGGTAGTGTGACAATGTGGCCCTGTGTGGGCGTGTAATGAGTAAGACCGCAGGTTAATTCTGTTTTCAACTTTAGATAACACCCACAAAAGGTTTGAGTAATTTAATCTGCTTAATGTTGTAGTCGCCGCAGTTATTAGTGGCTCCCACAGTAAACAGGAAAAAATACATATTCAATCTAAAGCCGCAGACTAGATTGTGCTAAATATTGAACGTATCAAAGCTATCATAGATAAAATAAAACTAGAGAAACCAACTTCTAATATTGTAGAAAATTAGGTTTAGATAAAAACCTTTTTCCTACTGTCGCTTCTCGGCAGGAATGTCAACCTCTCTCACACTCTTCATATCTAGAACTATATATATAGCGCCTGTCGTATAATTGGCGCTTTTTAGCCCCTACTTTGAAGTGTACCTCTTCATATTTTATCAGACAAATGAAGGCACCTACAATTTTAGCCGACAAATGGAGGGTCCTACAACTTTAGCCACCTCTGAACAGCTGATGGTTTTTATGAGGAGCTTTTTTATTTCATGTGAGAAATACATTCGGAGAGATTGACAATGCCAATCGAGGTGCTACCGCAAAAAGAAAAAATTAACTTCTTATTTATATTACATATAGATTAATCTTCTATAACTTTTTTAGATGTTGTTCGGGCCACGACTAAAACCCTGTTCTTCTGAATGGCAACACACAATGCTAACCATTTGGCTATCGCGGCGGCGAATTTGGCCTTTATTAATTGATTTTTTTAAATATATTTCGAATTTAGCTAATATTTTATTTATTTATTGTATTCAAATATAAGTAATGCAAGCGTATTTACATATATATTTATTTACGTGCTACGAATAATGCAAAATTTGTCAGAAGCGACACTTCTGTACTTCCCCTTTTGTGTTTCATGTGCCATTTCGTCTGCCTTACATTTATCAGTCATGAGCAGAAGCAGTCATTTCATGAATACTACAAAAAGCAATAACTTACATTTATACTCGTATTATATGTATGTATAAATCAGAGTTTAAGTGTTCAGACCTAGACGCGCTGCTGTCACGCGATGTCTGTCAGTTAGTTTGACGCCATTATTAAAGCTTCTCACAAGTACTCTTCCTCTTTTCTCTCACTTTTCACTCGCGTTCACACTCGCATTTTTAAAACTTCCTTCCGCTTCCCATTTTATACATTTTACATAAATGCGGCTTACTTGCACCTTTACCACCCCAATTCCTTCATCATTCCTGCTTATCCGTCACTTTGCATGGCGTTGCTCTGCCTTTAAATCCGACCAGCAGCTGCTCGGCTCGGCACTGATGTTTTATAGTAGGCATATAAATGGACTTATTTACTTTCAAGTGTAATTGCGGAAGCGCCGCTATCGGAGCAGAGCTTGTGCTTGCCTTGCCAGCCCCCCAAATGCCCCTCGACATGCGATGTTTCGTCGTTTCTCATTTTGTCGTTTTGTCAGTGCTGACATGGGTTTCAATAATGACATGTAAATTGGTAATTTATTAAATTTGGCAATTTAATTGGAATTATTCAGCTGCCCTTGCCTGCTCACAAGTGTTTGAGATAGTGAGCACAGTTTGATACAGTTAGCCACAGTTTTTCACCGTGAATGTTATTCTTTTATTTCTATTAAGAAATTATTGCATGTTTTAGAAATGTTGAAATAGATTTAAGCCATCGCAATATCGCAATTAAATAAAATAAAAATGGTAAATTCGAGCAGGAACGCTCAATTCTCGACCACTTTTTGCAGCACTTGCAGCCGTATCTCAGATAGGAATAAAGTCTAAGTCCTTCCATTTCCTGAAAGACATTGAAAAATATCAGCTTTAGCGGTTACAAAGCGACAATTACAAAAATGTGTATTTAGATTTTCACGTATGTTATTCTTCCTAAAAATTTAAGACCGATGTGATTTTTTCAATTAAGGCAGTTTGATTAAAATGTTTTCAAATTCGTTTATAAATGCCGTGGAGAAATTACAGTTTACCGGAAAATATC